AAAGAGATGGGTGGGGAGGCGGGACGGATGGCTGATAGGTGAAGCAATCAGAACACACATAACATTGATCAGTTAAGTTTGTCGTCTTATATGGATGTGGTTTGTGGTGCTCCAAAACAATTCCATCAAAGGTCACTGGTCACAGATCATGACAACAGATGTAACAATAATAATGTAAAAGTTTGAAATATTGTGAGAATTACCAAAATGACACAGGCATGAAGTGACCAAATGCTGTTGGAAAAGTGGAGCCAATAGACTTGTTTGATGTAAGGTTGCCACAAACCTTCAATGTGTAAAAATGTAATATCTGTGAAGTACAATAAAGCAAAAACACAATAAAACAAGATGTGTCTGTACCTGTTTCTTGCCTTGGGAAGATTCTCCTTCTCTTACTGGTATGTAGATTTTTTGACATTTCTATTGTTTTTGGTACAGGTTTCATCCTGGGTACTTTTATTGTTGACATATATACTTCGGGAACTTAAAGTTTACATTGTCTTATAAGCAGTAATAACATTATCAGTGGTAATGAAATATCATTCAGGATACTAAGGTTGAAAGAGATTAGAATTTGTGTATTTGTTAGATACTATCTGAATACTTTAATAAGAATGTTCTATTTGGATAAAAACAAGATATCTTATCTTTTTTTTTCTTTTCTGGCCATGCCATGCAGCTTGTGGGATATTAGTTCCCTGACTAGGGATAGAACCCACGCCCTCAGCAGTGAAAGCGCAGAGTCCTAACCACTGGACCGCCAGGGAATTCCCTTATTACCTGTTAATTCTCTTAACACTTCGGCAAGCCTAGAGAAGAGTCTTGAATACTTTCTTATTAATTACTAAAACGTCATTCAATTACGAAATTGAGAGTTTAACAGTGAGGTAGTTTTACTGTCAAAGTATGAAATAAAAATGTAAATCATTGTATTATCTAGTAGATTTTAATAACACTTGGGACCCTGCAGAAGTACGTTCATAATTTCATTATACTTAAATATCTTTCTCACTGTGTGTGTTATAATACATCTATGTAGGCTTTCTGAGGAAATTTGTGCATGAGTGACATCCTTGAATTGACTCTTAATAGTATTTACTAATCTGACTTTTGTTTTAGAGAAGGAAATTTCTTTGAGTTGCTTAAGCAAAGAGTAGAACTTTCCCTTGGGGAGTAATATTAATGAGACTAAAATTTTAAGTTAATAATTGTTAAATTCATTCAGACTTTCAGTTTGATAAAAGAAGGGAATTTAAGTTGGAATATTCAAATTTGAGGTTTTAGTTTTATCTAAGATTAGGGTTGAGATGCTGTATAAATAATTTAACTTGGATTAATTGCTGTATTTAATAGAAACATAGGTATATCTCTGTCATGATTTTTAAGAACTAATGCAGATGAAACAATGATCTTTTTTCAAACATTATATGCTTTTTCATATAAAAAACTGATTTTTAAAAAAGTGTTCTATATTGATTTTAAACTTTTACCTGTCTTGATCCTGGATATATTTAACTATCTGCATTAATGTCTTTCTCCTTAGATTTTCAATATTCTTGGTTGTTTCTCTGAATTTTGAATTTTTTTACTACTCATTTTTAAAATAAAAGTAAAATTTTTTTTGAGGTGAGATTCATATAATATGTAATTAACCATTTAAAAATACACAATTTAAGGACTTCCTGGTGGCGCAGTGGTTAAGAATCCACTTGCCAATGCAGGGGACACAGGTTCGAGCCCTGGTCCAGGAAGATCCCACATGCCACGGAGCAACTAAGCCCATGCGCCACAGCTACTGAAGCCCGTACGCCTGGAGCCCTTGCTCTGCAACAAGAGAAGCCACCACAATGAGAAGCCCACGCACCGCAATGAAGAGTAGCCCCCGCTCGCCTCAACTAGAGAAAAGCCTGCGTGCAACAAAGACCCAATGCAGCCAAAAATAAATAAATAAATAATACACAATTCAGTGGAACTTAGTGCATTTCCAGTGTTGTACAGTCACCACCTCTCTCTAGTTTCAGAATGTTTTCATCAACACCTCGTACCCATCCCTTCCTTCCCCCAATCCTAGACAACTACTCTGCTTTCTCTGTGTATTTGCCTATTCTGGATATTTCATATAGAAGTTCATACAATTTGGGATCGTTTATATTTGGCTTCTGTTTACTTAGCATAGTGTTTTCAGGGTTCACCAAATGTTGAAGCATATATCAAAACTTCATTCATTTATATGGCTGAACAATATTCCATTGTATGTATAGACCTCAATTTGTTTATCAATTCATCTGTTGATTGACATATGGGTTGCTTCCATCTTTTGGCTATTACGAATAATCCTGCTATAAATATTCATGTATGAGTTTCTATATGGGCATATGTTAATTCTGTGTTTTTAACGTTTTGAGAAATTACCAAACTGTTCTCCACAGTGGCTGCACCATTCTCTGTTCCTACCGTTTTAAGATTACATTTTATAGCCATCCTAGTGAATATGGAGTGGTATCTCATTGTGGTTTTGACTTGCATTTCCTTAATGACCAGTGAAATTGAACATCTTTTCATTTGTTTTTTTTGGCCATTTGTATATCTTCTTTGGAGAAATGTCTGAAATTCAAGTCTATTTTCCATTTTTAAATTAGGTTGCTTGTCTTTTAATTGTTGAGTTCTGAGAATTCTCTCTGCATTTTGTATACTAAACCCTTATCAGACATATGATTTGAAAACTTTCTCCCATTCTGTGGGTTGTATTTTTGCTTTCTTGATAATGTCCTCTGATACACAAAAATTTTCAATTTTTGTGAAGTCCAAATTACCTATTTTTTCTTTACTTGCTCATGCTTTTGGAGTCAAATTTACGAATCCATTGCCAAATTCGAATTCATGAATATTTACCCCTGTGTTTTCTTCTAAGAGTTTTATAGTTTTAGCCCTTACGTTTGGGTCATTGATCCATTTTGAGTTAATTTTTGTATATGAAATTAGAAAGTTGTATATGAAATGTACATATGAAATTTGTATGTGAAATTTGCACGTAGCAATCAGATTTTCTCAGCACCATTTGGGTTTTTTGTTGTTGTTTTGATTTATTTTGTTTTGGTGGGATCCCAGTTGCTTGACTAGGGATTGAACCTTGGGCCCACTGTAGTGAAAGCAGAGAGTCCCAGGCACTGGGCCTCCAGGGAATTCCCTCAGCACTGTTTGTTGAAGAAACTTTTTTCCCTGTTGAATCAGAACCCTTGTCAAAAATCAATTGCACACTGATATTGGGGTTTATTTCTGGACATTTAATGGCACCCTTTGTCTTACAACTGCCATAATAATTAGGCAGACAAAATATCACAGCTTTTGTATTAGTTTGTGCCGTCAATCTGTATAATGCACTGTGAGAGATACTAATATAAAAATCATTTGACAGTACTTAAATACGGTTGACCCTTGAACAACGCAGAGCTTAGGGGCGCCAACCCTCCACACAGTCAAAAATCTGCATGTCACTTACAATTGGCCCTCCCTATCCTGGGTTCCTCTGTATCCATGGTTCTACATCCTTGGATTCAAACAACTGCAGATTGCGTAGTACTGTAGTATTTACTATTTTTTTAAAAATTTACATTTAAGTGGACCATTGCAATTCGAACTTAGGTGGTTCAAGGGTCGCCTGTACTTACGTTTATTTGTAGATAAAGAGCTGTAATTTTTTCTTTTGCCTTTGCAAGTAGAAATAGCAGACTGAGGTATTGGGTTTTTCTTTTAAACGTTTCTCTGCTAAAAAAGAAGCTTTATGGCTACTGTTGGATGTTCCTTCTGATGATCTTTATTTTTTCACTTCTCTTTCTTGCAATAGCAGTACTTTCTCTGTAAAAATGACTTTGAAGACTTGCGTTTTATACTATATAAGATACAGAAATCTAAATTTACTGGCTTTCCCATTGTATACTTATTTTCTATTAGAAAATTTTATAGTCTTGAATTGCTGAATACACAGTTGATTTATGATAACTTGAATTGGAAAAATAGACTATTCAAATTTTATTATTTATTTACCTCAAAGAAAATGGCAGAACATTGTGAGGAAACATAGGTAATGAATATATGGAAAAATACATAGTGTTGCTAAAATGTGTAACTTTGAAAGTACTATTTTATACAAAATTTATTCATTATTTGAGGTGGTATTTTATACCTGCTATATTGGTAAACATTTTTAAAGGGGAAGAAGGACCTAGTGCCAATCATATTGTGGTGGCCCATTTATATTACTGTTGTGACAGTCCTTTCTGAAAGACATGTAGCTGTGTATATCAATAAGTTTCTTCTTAGTTACTTAATCACCTTAATGTTTTGATGTCATTTATTCTTGCTTTACTAACTCTATATTAATAGTCTTTTCAATTTTAGATACGAATACCGTGTAGAGATGGTTCATCAGTCCTGCAATGATCCTACCAAAAATATCATTCGAGAATTTGCATCTGACTTTGAAGTTGGAGAATGTTGGGGTTATAATCGATTTTTCCGTTTGGACTTACTTGCAAATGAAGGATACTTGAATCGACAAAATGATACAGTGATTTTAAGGTAATAGGAAACATTTATATCATGGCTTTTATCACAGGGAATAATGTCATCAGAATTTTAAAGTCTTTTCACTTAACAAAGATGAATATCGAAATTCATACTAACTCTAACCTTACCATGTTCTTAACCATTTAATTTCAGAAGTCCTGTGTGGTCAGTGAATAAGTTAGTCAGAAATGTGTTTGACATCTAGTTAGTAGTTCCATAAAAAGTAAACTACTGGGGCTTCCCTGATGGCGCAATGGTTAAGAATCCGCCTGCCAATGCAGGGGACTCGGGATCGAGCCCTGGTCTGGGAAGATCCCGCATGCCACAGAGCAACTAAGCCCATGTGCCACAACTACTGAGCCTGTGCTCTAGAGCCAGCAAGCCACAACTACTGAGCCCATGCACCACAACTACTGAAGCCCGAGTGCCTAGAGCCCGTGCTCTGCAACAAGCCACCGCAATGAGAAGCCCACACACCACAACGAAGAGTAGCCCCCACTCACCGCAACTAGAGAAAGCCCGTGTGCAGCAACGAAGACACAATGCAGCCAAAAATAAATTAAAAAAAAATAAAGTAAACTACTACTTCCAGTAAATGTGGTAATGTCCCATTTATCTATTGAACTTCTAGCAACCTCACCATTTGGAAATCCAAGAATAGTGTGGGATCAAGTGCTTTTTTTTTTTTCCCCCGCGGTACGCGGGCCTCTCACTGTTGTGGCCTCTCCCGTTGCGGAGCACAGGCTCCGGATGCGCAGGCTCAGCGGCCATGGCTCACGAGCCTAGCCGCTCTGCGGCATGTGGGATCTTTCCGGACCGGGGCATGAACCCCGTGTCCCCTGCATCAGCAGGCGGACTCTCAACCACTGCACCACCAGGGAAGCCCTCAAGTGCTTATTGTTTTCCACTTGGCATTGTGTATTATATTTGGATGACTGGTTTTGAAAGCTTAATTTAACAAAAAGGTTTTCAGTTTCTTCTAGATAACAGCAAATTAAAAGTAAGGGAATAGAGATGAAAACTGATGAAAATAAACTAAGTGATGGTAGTTGGTGTGTTATTTGCAAGAAAGGACAGAACATAAACAGTGACCATAAAGCTACAGCCCTATTTAATATTGGGGTAACCCTTGTAATTGAGTTTTGGGGCATCGTTGCACCATGGTTTAATTTGATGATCAAAATTCAAGCTTGAGTATTAAAAAATAAATGAATTCAGGGACTTCCCTGGTGGCACAGTGGTTAAGAATCTGCCTGCTAATGCAGGGAACACGGCTTTGATCCCTGGTCTGGGAAGATCCCATATGCTGTGGAGCAACTACACCCGTGCACCACAACTACTGAGCCTGTGCTCTAGAGCCTGCGAGCCACAACTACTGAAGCCCGCATGCCTAGAGCCCGTGCTCTGTAACAAGAGAAGCCACCACAATGAGAAGCACACGCACCACAATGAAGAGTAGCACCTGCTCACCACAACTAAAGAAAGCCCGCACGCAGCAACAAAGACCCAATGCAGATGGAGCCAAAAATAAATTTATTTTAAAAATTTTAAAAATTAAAAAAAAATAAATTCAAATATGTTTTGAACTGAGTGGTTTCAGAATGTTTAACAGTTTAGTAAGTTTCCATCAAATAATTTGAAAAGCTTTTTTCCTTAAAAGAGATTTGAATATACTCTTTTAAATTTCACTTATTCTGATTTCTTTGTCCTTGAGCATGCTGGATGAGTTGCTGTTATATCACCCTTTACTATTATGTGTTCTTCATAACTTTTCTGGGAGAATAAGGACGTATAAAAAGAGATTATTGCATTTTGAGTGTAGAAAAAAATTCATGTTTTTGTCATCTCTTTTGGGGGATTATTTTAGTATCATTTTATAACCTTTTAGGTTTTCTTAAATTATTCACTAAAAGAAATATGAATAAATTGTTCCTGTTTCACACTTTAACCAGAGAGGATTGTAAAATTATTCAAATACTAATTTTACCAGCCTGCAAAACAGCTTTTTTTTTTTTTTTTTTTTGTGGTACGCGGGCCTCTCACTGTTGTGGCCTCTCCCGTTGGGGAGCACAGGCTCCAGTCGTGCAGGCCCAGCGGCCATGGCTCACGGGCCCAGCCGCTCCGCGGCATGTGGGATCTTCCTGGACCGGGGCATGAACCCGCATCCCCTGCATCGGCCAACCACTGCGCCACCAGGGAAGCCCAAAACGGCCATTTTTTATGACCTTAGTCATCTCTTTATTGGAGTCATAGTAATGTAAATGGAGTCATGTTCAGCTATCCAACAAAGTTAGGGACGGGTTTTTTTTACTTTAATAAGTATTAGTTTTTTTAAAGTACAGGTAACTCTGAAGAGATCAAGATTCTGTCGTGTATCCATTTATATGCTTTAATATAGGGAGATACTTGTTTTTTTCCTAACCCCAGCTGAAATATGCCATATTGTGATATATGGAGAGTTTTGATTTTAAACTGCTATCTGGATGGGGTTAGGAATGTAGGTTATTCAGAGCATGTAACTCTTTGAGGGACAGTAAAGCAGTCCTGGGTAGTGTTTGTCCCTTTTTTTTTTTTTTTTTTTTTTTTTTTTTTTTTTTGCTGTGGAGTAGGAAATATGGGAACGGGAGATAGAAAAGGAATGACAAAGAGCAGTGCCTAAAACAAACTTTGCCTGTTTTACTAGGGTCTGACCTAGGCAAGAAAGGAGAAGGAAGGCATTAGCTGTCTCCTTCCTGCATAGTGTGATCCTCTTCTTCCCAGCTTATGATCAACACTGTATTTGAGCTAGATTATTATAGTAAACATGTTTTAGTAGATGAGTTTGGAAGTTTAACTGTGATGTGTAATGTTGTTTCTTTAGAAAAATACAGTTTGAATTTAGACAACTGACTTTTCAGAACCATGTCATTATAATTTGTAGACTACATATATAAATGGCAAATACCAGGAGCTCTGAGTTCTGAATTCTGGCCTTATAATGTAATCAAGTAAACTTAAAATTCTAGAATTTATAGTTTTAGATTTAAGGCTTGGTTCATAGTATTTTACTGTTTGGATTATTTTTCATGTGCAGTTATTCTTTTAAGGTTTCAGGTTCGTTCACCAACTTTCTTTCAAAAATGCCGGGACCAGCATTGGTATATTACTCAATTGGAAGCTGCACAGACTAGCTATATCCAACAAATAAATAACCTTAAAGAGGTAAGCAAAAAAACATATATTTGGTTTTAGTGTTTCATATTGTCTTGCCGGCGTATTACATTTGTAATTAGATTTTGGATATTATTGCTGTTTGTAATTTTGTAGAAAAATCCACTTGTTCTTTATTCTCACTACCTTTGAACCTCTAATTCTGGACTGTCCAATTCAGTAGCCACTAGCCACATGTGGCTGTGTAGACATAATTAAAATTAAAATTTCAGTTCCTTAGTTACAGTAGCTAGCTTGTATTGGGAATTGCAGATGTAGAACATTTCCATCATTGCATAAAATTGTATTGGACAGTGCTTCTCTAGTTGAGGCAAACTCTGTGTTTCTCTCAGTGACTTGGGTATTTCTCTTTCCCATGCTGTTTTGAATTTAGAGGATTATAAGCTATGGAACAATTGAATGTTGCCCCATCTTGAAGTCTCACTATTGTTGAACTGAGCGCTGGGGAGGATCAGTTAATGAATTTTTATTTTACAGTGGTAAACTAAATTATGTAAGGAATGTTTCTTTCTACAAGTGGATATGGGGATGCGATGAGAAGTTTGAAGTGCTGAGAGTGGTTAATATATGAGAGAGGAAAAGATGAATGTTTTCAAAAATTTTCATGTTAAGTTAGCTGCCCGTATTTACTACGCGGTTTGCTAATTGTGTAGCTTGGGCTAGAAATGAGAAGAAAGATGAAAATAAATTGGGCAGTTTTTCTTTGTCAGATTTTTCCATAGGCAAAAGTCAGGAAGGTATGAGATAGATGGTGCAAGAAATGGTTTTATGAACATCTGGATATATGGTTTGTTTGTTTGTTTTGCTTGAAATAATTTTACTGTACGAGTGGAGGACTGCTTATGACTCTGCTTGTGTTGCTTTGTTTTGAAAGAGACTTACTATTGAGTTGTCTCGAACTCAGAAATCAAGAGATTTGTCACCACCAGATAATCATCTTAGCCCCCAAAATGATGACACTTCTGAGACACGAGCTAAGAAGTCTGGATCATGTGCTGACATGCTTCTCCAAGATGGTCCTACTACAGCTTCTGTAAGAGAGGCCAAGGAGGATGAAGAAGATGAGGAGAAGCTTCAGAATGAAGATTATCATGTAATAATTAGACCTATTTTAGATTCATTTTGTGTTTGAAAAGAGAAATGATATCATGGTTTCCAACATATGATAGGGGGAATCAATGTGCTGAAAATCTTGTCCACTTGTATTTTCATTATTAGTGTATGCCCTTTTATAACTGTTAATAAGTCAGAAGTTGTTGCATCAAAATTATTTCAAGGTCTAAAAATTAATTTATTATAGAAAACTGTACATTCTACAAAACAAACTGTGATGTACATTTTAGAAGCTATGTAAGTTGTGGATTTTTAAAATGTGTCCTGGGGCTCCCCTGGTGGCGCAGTGGTTGAGAATCCACCAGCCGATGCAGGGGACACGGGTTCGAGCCATGGTCCGGCAAGATCCCACATGCCGCGGAGCAACTAAGCCCGTGCGCCACAACTACTGAGCCTGCGCTCTAGAGCCCGCTTGCCACAAGTACTGAGCCCATGTGCCACAACTACTGAAGCCCACATGCCTAGAGTCCGTGCTCCGCAACAGGAGGAGCCATCGCAATGAGAAGCCCACATGCTGCAACGAAGAGTAAACCCCACTTGCCACAACTAGGGAAAGCCTGTACCCAGCAGCGAAGACCCAACACAGACAAAAATAAATAAATTTAGAAAAAAAATCTTAAAAAGTGTCTGCTTTCCGTTCACTGAATCTAGTTAAAGTACCTTATCATTGCCTATGTATGTAGGATGATTTAGGTTTTGGGAGATAGCCAGGTTTTGTCCCAGCTAAACTAGAACTAGAATGAGATTTCAAGAAGTGGTTGTTATTGTTTAAGGTGAGAGAGAGATGGAGAGATAAGCTCTTTTTGAGGCTTCAGGTATATGTTATAATGAAGGAGCCAGTGGGGAGAAAGATTGAAAATAAGGTCCAGGTATTGACAAAACCATTTATCTAAGGAGATAATAGAGGTTGGATTGGAGCACTCAGGTGAAGCAGTTAACCTTTGATAGAATGAGTTAAAGGTAGGGTGGAGCTAGCAGGTAGGGCAGCTGAAAGTTGTGGGCATTTATGCTTAATAGCCAATATGTTTTTCTGTGTAGATAGGTGACAGGGTTTTATAATCACGTTGAGGATAATAGAGGTTAGATAGGTCTCGAGGAGTGATGGTTTGAAATGTTACTTTGTGAGGAAGCTGATGTGGACTATATGAAGCATTTCCAGTCATATCGAAGGCCCAGCTGACATTGGCAGAAATAACTCATTAGTGGTACCAGGTAGTGTGGTTATGTGAGTTATCTCTACAGGGCACAGCAGTCTAGGCACAGGAGTGGAGAATTCTGATGATTGCCTTATTCTTTGGTGCTGGTGCTTGGGCCATGGGCTGAGTGAAAACATTTGAGATAGAAGTCTTCTTTCTTTTCCTTAATCTAGCATGAGCTTTCAGATGGAGATCTGGATCTGGATCTTGTTGGTGAAGATGAAGTAAATCATCTCGATGGCAGCAGTTCTTCTGCCAGTTCCACAGCAACAAGTAACACGGAAGAAAATGACATTGATGAAGAAACCATGTGAGTGTTCACATTAACTACCACTATAAATCATCTAAATGGTAATTATTAGAAGCATGTTAATTAAGTTAGGCCTAAAAATGTGGATACTAAGGATTTTTTTCCCTTGATCTACAGTATCTTATATAAATAAATAAAGGAGCTTGAAGGGAAGAGTGAACTGATTTCCTCCCTGTCATCTCTGGGTTCCAAACTGAGTTTTAGTTTTTGCTTTAGCTTTAATTTTGCAATTATTTCATATTTAAGAAAAGTTGCAAAAATATTAGGGAATTCCCGTATTTCCTTTGCCCAGATTAATTCCCCAAATTTAATATTTTGCTTTGCTATGTTTCTTTTCTCTCACTCTATATAATTTTTTTGTGAGACATTTGAGATTAAGTGAATATACTTCTCATTGTGTATTTCTAAAAACAAGTATGTTTCTTATGTAATTTCAGTACCATTATCAAAATCAGGAAGTTAACATTGATGTAATACTATAATCTATGACCTTATAGAAATTTTGACAGTGATGTCCTTTGTCTGGTTTAGGATCCAATTCAGGATCACACATTGCTTTTTTTTTTTTTTTGCGGTACGCGGGCCTCTCACTGTTGTGGCCTCTCCGGTTGCGGAGCACAGGCTCTGGATGCGCGGGCTCAGCGGCCACGGCTCACGGGCCCAGCCGCTCCGCGGCATGTGGGATCTTCCCGGACTGGGCCACGAGCCCGTGTCCCCTGCTTCGGCAGGAGGACTCTCAACCACTGTGTCACCAGGGAAGCCCCACATGTTGCTTTTTGTTAAGATTCTTTAATGTGCTTCAGTCCTGGTTCATGTCATCTTTTTTTTTTTTAATTTGTTTTTCATGACTTTGACACTTCAGAGAAATACAGAGCGGTTATTTTGTAGGAAGTCCCTCAATTTGGAGTAGTCTGATATTTCCTCATAATTAGATTGAGGTTATGCACTTTTGGCAGGAATAAGACAGAAGTGATGATGTAGCTTTTTCAGCGCATGAATATGAGGGGACAGTGGAAGGTGCATGTCTTCAATCTGTCCCATTATGGTTGATTGATTTAGAATACTTGGTTAAGGTGATATCTGCCAGATCTCTCTACTTTTCCCCTTTGTAATAAGTATCATGTGGGGACATATTTGGAGATTGTAAATATCTTATTTCTTGTTGTACTTTAGTCCACTAATTTTATCATTTATTGGTGATTCTTGCTTGAAAAAGATTACTGTGTTGATTGCTGAATGATGATTTTCTAATGCCATTATTCCTTCTACGTTTATTAATTGGAATTCTATTCTAAGGAAGAAATTTCCCCTCTGCCCCATTCATTAATTAACTAATTAATTTCATTAGTATAGACTCATGGAGTTTTGTTTTTTTAAATCATTTAATCCACTTACCATCATAATTTATTGCTCAGATTGTCCCAGATTTGGCCAGTGGCAGCCTTTTAAAAACTCCTGTGTCCTTTCTAGATGTCCTCATTATTTTATAAGCACTTTCTTATTTTCTGGCACTACAAGACATTCCAGGTTCATCTTGTACTTTCTCTGTCCCAGCCCTGGCACCAGCCATTTGACAAGAGTAAGGTGAGAGTTTTAAACCCCCTATTTGACCTCACCCCCCATTTCCACAAATTAGCTCCTCAAAATAGACCTTTTTCACTTAATGTTCCCTCTTTAGCATACGTAGCAAATTGCCTAAAAGGGTTAGTTAAAATGTGAAGCCTTTAAGTCACCAAATCAGAAATCATTATTAGTGATATTTTTAAATATATAGGATAGAACTGATTAATTTGAATTAACATGGAAAATTCTTTTAGATGGTGATTCTGTTAAGTGGAATCCACCTTGATAATAGCTTAAATATATGGTTCTATCTGAATTAATTCCTTTGACTGTTAGGTCTCTTGACTTTTTTCAAGGTAGTTTTGAGGGCAATTGGATTTTATGTAAAACTGGATTCACAGCATCTCATTAGATTGACTTTTTAATGCTTTTTCTACTAGAAGGTGTTTGATTATGTTCCCTTTATATACATCTACAATAATATCTTGATCCAAACTGTTTTATATAATTCATAGAAACAGCACAGTTAATCTTGAGCTAATTTGAGCATCTGGGGAATCATAAATTGTTAGCTCTAACAAATTAAGGTCAGTTCCTTGTATAGATGGGGAAATAGATACACAGTTGATTTGGGTAATGGTTATTATAAACAGCTTTTAGTTAACTAGAACACATTTATCAAGTAGGCCTTTCTTCTCTTCCTCCACCTCAGTCTTTCTATGATAGTATTATATATTTTCTTCCTGCTGTTTTTTTCTTTTTATTTTGAGGTAATTGTAAATTCATTTGCAGTTGGAGGAAATAATACAAGATCCCGTATACCCTTTGCCAAGTTTTCCCCAGTAAAATTTGGATACATGCTTTGCAAATACTTTCTCCCACTCTGTAGCTTGTCTTCTCCCACTCTGTAGCTTGTCTTTTCATATTCTTAACAGGGTCTTTTGCCAATCAGAAGTTTTTAATCTTTCAACAGTGTTTTGTAATTTTCAGAGTATATGTTTTACACATCTTTTGTTTAATTCATTCCTAAGTATCTTATTCTTTTTTATGATATTGTAAATGCAATTGACTTTTCTTTTTAAATTTCCTTTGTGTATTGTTCTTTTGCAAGTACATGAAAATCCAGTTGATTTTTGTTTCTTGCAACATTGCTAACTCGTTTATTAATTCTAATAGTTTTTTAATGGATTCTTTAGGTTTTTTTATATACAGTATTAGATCTGTAAATAGATTTAGTTTTACTTCTTTTTTTCCAATTTGGGTGCCTTTTATCTCTTTTTCTTGCCTAAGTTCACTGCATAGAATGTTGAATAGAATTGGTGGTAGTGGACATTCTTTTTTTTTTTTAATAGATTTATTTATTTATTTTGGCCGCATCGGGTCTTTGTTGCTGCACGTGGGCTTTCTCTAGTTACGGTGAGTGGGGCTCTTCATTGCGGTGCACAGGCTTCTCATTGCAGTGGGTTCTCTTGTTGCAGAGCACGGGCTTTAGGCACGGGGGCTTCAGTAGTTGTGGTACGCAGGCTCAGTAGTTGTGGTTGTGGCTCGTGGGCTCTAGAGCGCAGGCTCAGGAGTTGTGGCACAGGGACTTAGTTGCTCCACGGCACGTGGGATCTTCCCAGACCAGGGATCAAACCCGTGTTCCTTCCATTGGCAGGTGGCTTCTTAACCACTGTGGGGAGTGGACATTCTTTCTTGTCTTGTTCCTGATATTAGAGTGAAAGCGTTCAGTCTTTCACGATTAAGTGTGATTTTAGCTATGGGTTTTCCATCTATTGCCCTTCTAGTCCTGGTTTATTGAGTGTTTTTATTATGAAAGGGTATTGGATTTTGTCATATTCTTCTTCTGCATCTATTCAGATGATCATGTTGTTGTTGTTGTTTTTTTATTCTGTTGATATGGTGTTTTACATTAGTTGATTTTCAGATTCTAAACCAACTTTGTATTCCTTGGTTAAATTCTATTCTGCCTTGGTGTGTAATTCTTTTTATGTTTTGCTGGATTCCATTTGAGAGTATTTTTTTATGTTCTTAATAGTGTTACACCTTTCTCTATGGCTCTGTTTTTAGAGCCTGCTTCCTTCTGCAGGCAAAATCTCTGAGCCAGAGCTCTGAAGGTGGAGTGAAAACAAAGGTGTGCTTATTTCTCCCACTTTAGAAGCTGACCCCTTGGGGCTGGGCAAGTTGGGGGCTGTAGCCTTAGATCTTTTCGGTTTGTCTTCTCAGGCCTGGGACTTCTGCTTTATGAGTGAATTGGGACACTGGGGATCTGGGCCCCAGTTACCTCAGCATGCTGCATCCAAGGTAGGGCCTTGGGTCTGGGTAGAAGAAGGGAATCCCTACCTCTTGGCCACATACACCTGACTTTAGCCTCAGCCACGGGTAGCTGGGAACAGGATGAGAAATGCTGATGTCTTGCTCCTCCTGGGAATGTAGCCCTTCTGTTGGGGAGCTGTGGGAAATGGGAGCCCTGTGTTCTTGGCTGCACCAGTCTGAAGTGGAATTTCTGTATCACTGAATGGGGGTGGGGAGTGGTCTTGGTTCAAGTACCACAGACTCACTGTTGTTACCAAATTTTAGTACATTTTTTTGAGGAGATGTTTTTATTTGCTATATGCTCTTAGAACCATTTCCAGAGTCTCTAAATGGTTGCTTTAAAAAATAATTTTCACCAATGTCACTGGAAAGCAGATCGGTAGAGCTCCTCGTGCGGTCAGTCCGGGAACTGATTTTAAGACTACTTTAAATACTCAAAACTAGCACTGATTAGTGCTGTTCCATATAGTACTTTGTCATTTAAATTAAGGTGATTGTGTTTTGATAGACAACCCTCTTTTCTGAAATAGTATTTTAAGAAAATAGTGTTTCATCACATACAGTAATTTAAACATCTTTCTTAACCTTAAGGTGTACTGTGTTAAGCCTAATTTACTACCATTAAGTTACAAATTCTTTGAAGCTATAATCTCTTCTGCTTACAATGGTTTTCAGATTTTCTATTTTAAAAATTAAATGTTGCCAACCTATCTTGGTATTTTAAAAAGGTAGATTGAACATTAATAATACTGCCCATACATGTGATAATGACAAAAGTCTTTTCCCTCAATTTTGTATTTAGAAATATTCTATTACTTCACAGGAGAAAGCTATACAGAATTGTTATAAAGTTCACTGAGGTGTGACAAGTAATATTAATTGTACTTACTATGTGGAATGATGAATTTTATATATTCTTAGGTCTGGAGAAAATGATGTGGAGTACAACAACATGGAATTGGAAGAGGGAGAACTCATGGAAGATGCAGCTGCAGCAGGACCTTCAGGTACTGAGGCCAGGCCCCACAAGCTGTTCTGTCTTCTCTTTGCTTTTCTCTGAATGTATCATATTTTGATATGTGGCAGCCATTGCTCTACATGGTTCATGGTGTTAGAAGGACTATATTTTATGTATGGATTTTAGAGTGAATTACTAATAGTATTTAAAACAGTAATAATAGCTAAAATTTAATGTTTTCTTATGTACCAGGCACTGTGCAGAAGCACTTTATGTGTACCTTATCTCATTTGCCTATAAAGTTCTTGGAGATGGGTTTTAATATTATCTTCTTTTTATAGCTATAGAAACTGATGTGTAAAGGAATTAAGCAACTTGCTGTCTTTTCACAATTAAGTAAATGAAAGAGAAGAATTAGAGTTTTCAGTTTATTTGAATCCAAAGCTCATCATCTTATCTACTTTTATATACTTAACTGTCTTTTTACGATACATAAGTCTTATTTGTATACCTATCTCAATTATAAGAATAATCTGAATAGAATTATTGAATCTTTGGCTTAAAAAGGACCTTTTGAGAACTCATTTTATATGTGGAAATAACTCAGAGATTTAGTTGCTTAGATCACATAGGTAGTTGTTGGTATAGCCAGTCTAGAACCTCACATCATCTTTGTGGACCCAGTTTTTTGCCAAAGTACACTGCTCCTCCTAGGATAACCTTACTTAAATAGTAGGTGTTTCTTTTGTGTTCTTGGACCTATTTAATTAAGCATGGGAATCTTGGCTAGAACAATTATCAGCTAGTTTGTACTGCTTCTACTTTACTGGTGCTGCATCGGGTCTTAGTTGCGGCACACAGGCTCAGTAGTTGTGGTGTGTGGGTTTCTCTCTAGTTGTGGCATGCAGGCTCCAGAGCGCGTGGGTTTTGTTGCCCCGCGGCATGTGGGATCTTAGTTCCCCCTACCAGGGATTGAACCCGTGTCCCCTGCATTGGAAGGTGGATTCTTAACCACTGGACCACCAGGGAAGTCCCCCATACTGTTTGGATGACTGTAGCTTTGTAGTGTAGTTTGAAATCAGGGAGTATGATACCTCCAGCTATGTTCTTTCTCTAGATTGCTTTGGCTCTTCAGGATCTTTTGTGTTTCCATACAAATATTAGGATTCTTTGTTCTAGTTCTGTGAAAAATGCTGTTGGTGTTTGAATCTGTAGATTGCCTTGCGTAGTATGGTCATTTTAACAATATTAATTCTTCCTATCTATTGAGCACAGTGTATCTTTCCATTTGTGTTGTCTTCAGTTTCTTTCATTAACGTCTTAACAGTTTTCAGAGTGCAACTCTTTTATCTCCTTGGTGAGATTTATTCCTGGGGTTTTTTTTCTTCTTAATGAAATTGTAAATGAGATTATTTTCTAATTTCTCCTTCTGATAGTTTGTTACTAGAGTATAGATATGCAACAGATTTTTGTTTTGTATTAATTTTGTATCCTGAAACTTTACTGAATTTGTTGAAGAGTTCTAGTAGTTTTTTGGTGGTATCTTTAGGGTTTTCTATGTATAGTATCATGTCATCTGCAAACAGTGACAGTTTTACTTCTTCCTTTCCAATTTGGATTTTTTAAAAAATTTTTCTTCCTAATTGCTGTGGCTAGGACTTCCAGTATTATGTTGAATAAAAGTGGTGAGAGTGGACATCCTTGTCTTGTTCCTGATCACAGAGGTAATGCTTTCATCTTTTCACTGTTGAGTATGATGTGAGCTGTGAGCTTGTTATATTTGGCTGTTATTATGTTGGGATATGTTCCCTAAATTTATACCCACTTTGTTTATAGTTTCTGTCATAAATGGATGTTGAATTTTGTCAGAAGCTTTTCTTGCATTTATTCAGATGAGCAATTTTTATTCTGTAATTTGTTAATATGGTGTATCACATTGATTGAGCCATCCTTGCATCCCTGGGATAAATCCCACTTGATCACAGTGTCTGATCTTTTTAATGTTTTGTTGAATTTTGTTTGCTAAAGTTTTGTTGAGCGTTTTTGTTACTACGTTCATCATTGATATTGGTCTGTAATTTTCTTTTCTGGTGGTGTCTTTGGTTTTGGTATCAGAGTGGTGCTGGCCTCATATAATGAGTTTGGAAGCATTACTTCCTCTTCGATTTTTTGGAATAGTTTGAAAAGAATAGGTGTTAACTCTTCTTTAAATGTTTGGTAGAATTCACCTGTGAAGCCATATGGTATTGGACTTTTGTTTGTTGGGAGTTAAGTTTTTTTTATTACTGATTCAGTTGAAATTTTATTACTGGTAATTGGTCTGTTCCTAATTTTCTATTTCTTCCTGATTCAGTCTTGGGAGACTGTACATTTCTAGTAATAATTCATTTCTTCTAGGTTGTCCATTTTATTGGCATATAATTGTCTGTAGTAATCTCTATGATCTGATGTGTCTCTTTGTATTTCTGTTGTGTCAGTTGTAACTATTTCTTTCCTTCTACTAACTTTGGGTTTTGTTTTTTCTTTTTTTTTTCTAGTTCCTTTAGTTGTAACGTTATGTTGTTTATTTGAGACTTTTCTTGCTTCCTGAGGTAGGCTTGTATTGCTGTAAACTTTTCCCTTAGTATTGCTTTTGCTGTGTTCCATAGATTTTTGGATCATTGTGTTTCTGTTTTCATTTGTCTCAGGTATTTTTTTATTTCCTCTTAGATTTCTTCAGTTGTTCAGTAGCATATTGTTTAGCCTCCACACGTTTGTGTTGTTTGCAGTTTTTTTCTTGTAGTTGATTTCTAGTCTCTTAGTGTTGTGGTCAGAAAAGATGCTTGTTATGATTTCATTCTTAAATTTCCTGAGACTTGTTTTGTGGCCTAGCATGTGATCTGTCCTGGAGAATAATGTTCCCTGTGCACTTGAAAAGAATGTGAACTCTGCTTTTGGGTAGGATATTCTGTATATAGAGATCTATATCTATATATCTCTATTAAGTCCATCTAATAGATGGACTAATGTGTCATTTAAGACCAGTGGTCTAATGCATCATTTAATGCCAGTGTTTCCGTATTGATTTTCTGTCTGTATGATCTATCCATTGATGTAAATGGGGTGTTAAAGTCTCCTACTATTATTGTGTTACTGTCTATTTCTCTCTTTATGTCTATTAACATTTGCTTTATGTATTTAGGTGCTCCTACATTGGGTACATATTTATTTACAATTGTTATATCTTCTTGTTGGATTGATCCCCTTATTACATACTGACCTTCTTTGTCTTTGTTATGGACTTTGTTTTAAGTCTGTTTTGTCTGATGTAAATATTGCCACCCCAGGTTTCTTTTCGTTTCCGTTTCCATGGAATACCTTTTTCTATCCTGTCACTTTCAGTCTGTGGATGTTTTTAGAACTGAAGTGAGTCTTGTAGCCACAAATATATGGGTCTTGTTTTTATATCCCCTGGGCCACTCTGTGTCTTTTGATTGGTAGGTTTAGTCCATTTATGTTTAAAGTAACTATTGATAGGTATGTACTTATTGCCTTTTTGTTAATAGTTTTCTGTTTCTGTATTTCTTTTTTGTTCCATTCCTCTTTTGCTCTCTTCCCTTATGATTTGATGACTATCTTTAGTGTTAGTTTAGATTTCTTTCTTTTTTTTGTGTGTGTATCTAAGGCTTTTTAGTTTGTGGTTACCATGAGGTAACACACACACACACACACACACACACACACACATACATACAGACACATGATTATTTTAAATTGTTGATTTCTTAAGTTTGAACACATTCTAACAACCCTGAATTTTTACTCCCCTCCCTACCCCCTCTCCATGTTTAATGTTTTTATGTTATATTTTACCTCTTTTGTTTTGTGTACCTCTTAACTGCTTATTGTGGACATAATAAGCACGAAGCTTTTATCCTTCGTACTTGCCTTATAAGTATTTGATCTACTACAATTAAGATGTTAAGTTTTCCATTAAACAGATCTTTCTTATACAGAAGCCTAGGTATATAGTAAAATAGTATTTATTAAATTTAATTTTTTAGACAGTATTAAATAATGATGTAGCTTAAAACAAATATTTAGTGACTCAGGTGGCCTCATTCCCATAAGAATTGCTTTTAGTTTATTCAGTTATTTTCTTTCAGTTGCAAGAGAATTTAGCCTTAATAATATGTGCTGAAAAGGGTTTTTAATATTTTTCTAATGTAGAACATTAGCTAGTTGAATCAGCTGAGTATGAAAAATCTATTCTGTTGATATAATTGCCTGTCATGTGTAACTTATGAAACACTGCAATAATACTTCTAATTTGAGAACTAAAAAGTTTTGGCAGTATAATACATTTGTAAAACAAATTGACATCGTATAAAGTTATTACTCAAAACATCTGTTATATATTTCAGGTTAAAGATTTTTAAGGTTACTTGTTCCACAAATGTTTAATGAATACCCACTAGGTATCAGCCATTGTGTTGTTCATTGGATTTATAAAATGAATGAGCATCACTTTTGCAGCACTAGTCATTGTAAAACTTTGTGGTTATAAATATAGATACAGGGTGACACCCAAAATGGAAAGAACAGCTAATTGGAAATGGGTGAAAAAAGGTTTCAGAGAGAGAGAGTGATGCTTGATCTTGCTCTTTAAAGATGAGCTCAGTTCATTAGGCGAACAAGGAAATAATGAGATTATAGAGCAAAGGCATTCTAGGCAGAAGTCGCAGCATTGTCCTTTTTGGGAACTTCAGATATTTGAGAGTTTAGTTTATATGGGGGCAAGGCAGTGTGAGATTGGTAAGCAGGAGCAAGATTAGGTAATGGAAAGTCTTATTTGCCAGACTAAGGAGTTTGGGCTTTAAAGGTCTTTTTTTTTTTTAATAAATAAATAAACGTGCATGGGGTCTTCATTGCTGCGCGTGGGCTTTTCTCTAGTTGCGGAGAGCAGGGGCTACTCTTTGTTGCGGTGTGCGGGCTTCTCATTGCGGTGGCTTCTCTTGTTGTGGAGCACGGACTCTAGGTGCATGGGCTTCGGTAGTTGTGGCACGCAGGCTCAGTAGTTGTGGTGCACGGGCTTAGTTGCTCTGCAGCATGTGGGATCTTCCCGGACCAGGGCTTGAACCCGTGTCCCCTGCATTGGCGGGTGGATTCTTAACCACTGCAACATCAGGGAAGTCCCCACTAAAGGTCTTTAAAAGCGAATGTGATCAGGTTTGTCTTTATAATGGAAAATGGATGAGCTAAGATTACTTAGAAAACTACCACGGGAATTCCCTGAGAGTCCAGTGGTTAGGACTCCGTGCTTTCACTGCTGAGGGCACGGGTTCAGTCCCTGGTTGGGGAATTAAGATCCTATAAGCTGTGTGGCAAGGCCAAAAAAAAGAAAGAAAGAGAGAAAGAAAAAAAACTACCTCAATATTCCAGGAGAGAAATTTTCAGGGCCTAAAATAAGGTAGTAGCAGACAAGGTAAAGAAGAAGAAACCTTTTGAGAGATGTTAAATAGTATCTACACAACTTGCGAGTGTCTTACTGGATTGGTTGGAGTTGGTGGAGATGTGGGGATGATCCTTAACATTTCTAGGTTAGCCCGTGCCATTACATAAGCGAATGAGTCCAGGAGCAGAAGATAGTATATTCCGTTTGATCCATGTTGGTCTTGAGAGGTCTATGGGACCCCCATGTATTGATCTCCAGACCCGTATAACTGGCTGCTTAGAAGACCACAGGTGTGCAGTCTGGCCTGTTAATGTATATTGCTTTTTAAAAATAAGTATCATTTTTATTCATTAGAATAAATGAATTAATTAAAAATATTATTCAGAAGTTTTATCTATAATATATAAAAAACTTTTACAAATCAATAAGAAAAAGATAAGACAACCTCTTAGTAAAAAAGACAAAAGACAAGAATAGACACTTCACAAAGGAGGCTGTCTAGATGACCAGTACACATTTTTAAAGGTGCTCAGCCTCTTTTGTCAGAGAAACGCAAATTGTGATGTGTCCCAGTGTGGATCTCTTGAGTTTATCCTACATGAAGTTTGTTGAGTTGAGTTTTTTGGATGTTTAGATTAATAGATTTCATTATATGTGGGAAATTTTTATCCATTTTTCTTCAAATAATATTCTTTCTCCTCCTCTCTAATTCCCATTATGTGTATGTTGGTACACTTGGTGGGGTTCCACAGGTCTCTGAGATTCTGTTCATTCTCTTTTTCAGGAAATGCCAGATAAAAACCACATTATGATACCATTGCATACCCACTGTAATGGCTAATACATTTTAAACTGGCAATATTAAATATTGAAAGCATTTGGAGAGGTGGAAACTCTCATAGCCTGCTGGTAGGAATGAAAATTGATACCACTCCTTTGGAAAACTGTTGGGCAATATGGGCTGAAGTGAACAAACACATCCTATGGCTTTCCCAGTTCCAACAGAGTGGGAGGTGGTGTTTGCCAGTCGAATTTTACAAGATAATTTAGAGCAGCATTGTTCTTTTTCAGGTGGTTTTGTTTTCTTGTGTTTTTAATTAAAAAAATATAAATATAATTTATAACAAAGTAAAGGATGTGAAAAACTGGAGAAGACTAGAAAGATAGTTTGGGTCTAGACTGTGTAGAACCTTGAATGTCATGCTAATGCATACAGGCACAGAGCTTAGATAGATCAATGCAATATCTTAGCAGGGTTAATCTGGCTTGGCTTAGAGGAGAGGATCCATTTTCTTTTTTATGAGGTGTTTGTCTTTTTTTTTTTCCAAGTGAAGTTCAAGAGTAGATATCTGCTTGTAAGTTCAGTAGCTTTATTCCTACTAGCCAAAAGCTAGAAGCAACCCAAATTCTTTCCTAATCGTAATAAGGAAAGAAACTGGATATATTCGCATTTTGGAGCCCTGCACAGAAATAATGAAAATGAATAAACTGCTATATATAGCAATATAGATGAATCTCATGAGTCTCATGTTGAGCAACGAAGCAGGATATGAGTACAACTCTATCATAACATTTATGTAAAGTTCAAAAACAGGCAAAAGTAATCTATGGTGTTTAACTCTGGATGGAAGTTACCTTTGAGGAGGAAGGTTAGTGAGCAATTTTAGGAGGCATGGAGGAATTTTGGGGTGCCATTAATTTGTGACCATACACTAGGCTGTATACTTAATGTATGAGACATACACACACACACACACACACGCACAGAATGATGGCAGTGTTAGCTCTGAGAGAGGGAAACTGAAATAGATGCTAAAGTCTTTGATGCCCGTGGATGAATGTGATAGTAGAAAGGGTGGCAACATGGGAGGGAGGGAGTAGCTGAAGGGCATGAACCACAAAGGAAAGGAGTTTTTGTTCATTGGTGAGAGTAGTGACCTGGAAGAGTGGTTAGAAACAGAAGACTGTTAATGCTCCTTTCTGTACTGGGGGTCCATTTAACATGGGAGAACGAGCAACTTTTTTTTTTTAAAGAAGAGCTAGATATCCGGGCAGTAGATACCACACTCCGGGCTACTGAGTTTATTTACTAAACAATCAGAACCACCTGAGTAGCTTTTTGGAAAAAGGTCCTGGATCCCACTCTAATATTCACGTTCAGTACATCTAGAGTAGGGCCAAGAATTTAAAAAATTCCTCCAACTGACTGATATGCAGCCTGTTTCGGGAACTCCCTAGTAAAGGAAAAGGGCTAAGAAACAGTTTCAAGGTGGAGGGGGGATAGTTTTCTGCCTTTTAAAATAGGAGTTGCAGTGAGTACAGAGGCTAAAAGAAAAATTGGCAATGGGATAATCCTTAGAAGAGGAAGAGGATGGGGACTTCCCTGGTGGCACAGTGGTTAAGAACCCGCCTGCCAGTGCAGGGGACACGGGTTCAAGCCCTGGTCCAGGAAGATCCCACATGCCGTGTAGCTACTGAGTCTGCGCTCTAGAGCCCGCGAGCCACAACTACTGAAGCCCGCGTGCCCAGAGCCCGTGCTCCGCCACAGAAGGCACTGCAATGAGAAGTCCGCGCACTGCCACGAAGAGAAGACCCTGCTCGCCACAACTAGAGAAAGCCCGCGCACGGCAACGAGGACCCAATGCAGCCAAAAATAAATAAATAAAATTAATAAATTTTTTTTAAAAAAAGGGAAGAGGATGAAGAAGTAGGAGAAGGTAAGGACATAAGAATGTGAATATGGATGAAACACATATAAGTAAATAACTGGCCTGAAGCTCCTGAATAACTAAACTTTTCTCCTAAGTTTTTCTTTTTATTTTTTCCCCCCAGATCTCTTTGGAAACACTCATGAATAGGCAGAACATGATTATTTCATGCTATTTTTATATTATCTACTTTAAGACTTTGCTGCATGTAACATTATTTAATGTTGTGTTTCTTTAGAATATATTTAAATAGCTTTATTTAAGGAGGTCAGTTTGGTTTTTTTTTGTTTTTTTTTTTGCGGTACACGGGCCCCTCACTGCTGTGGCCTCTCCCGTTGCGGAGCACAGGCTCCGGACGCGCAGGCTCAGCGGCCATGGCTCACGGGCCCAGCCGCTCCGCGGCATGTGGGATCTTCCCAGACTGGGGCATGAATCCGTGTCCCCTGCATCGGCAGGCGGACTGTCAACCACTGCGCCACCAGGGAAGCCCAAGGAGGTCAGTTTTAACCAACATTTCCATACCTAACACTTGTCTAGGCGCTAGAGAGAAGTCAGATGGTTTCCTTGGCTTAAGGAGCTTATTATCAATACAGGTAATATAGAGATGACATTATTTTCAGATGTCTGTATTATGCATCAGTCATTAGCAAGGTAAGTCTGAAATCTTCAAACGGTACTTCAGTATTTAATCAAACTAGAAAAAATGTCTGCCAAACTGTCATGACCTGAGCATTTTGCTGTCCAGAGACCTGGAGAAAACTTCTGCTATTTTGGTGTCTAGTTCCTTGGGATCTGTTATACCAGGGAGCTTGACTTTGATCCAAGACCACTGGCTTATGCAATATATTCTCCTTTTCCTTACCCTCATACCCCTAACCATATATACTGTATACATTGTCACCTTTTTATTTCTAGGGTTCAGGATGGGGTTGAGGATTATGCCTGAATTTTGAGTAGTAATGAGGCCAGTCGTCAGCCACTGTCCTTTGTATACCTCTCTGGGCAATATGGTTTCTTTGTGCTTCTTATCATGAACACCAACTCCTAAGAGGTCCATAGACAAGTATTCAAACATCAACCAGTTTACTTTTTCTTTCTTTCTTTCTTATTAAATTTGTCCAATTATATAGCTTTCATTTTCTACATCTCTTTCTTTTGCAGGTAGTAACCATGGCTATATGGGTGCCAGTAGCAGAATGTCAAGAAGAGCACATTTATCCTCTGCTGCTACCAGTAGTTTATTAGACATTGATCCTTTAATATTAATACATTTGTTGGACCTTAAGGACCGGAGCTGTATGGGAAATCTGTGGGGCTTACAGCCTCGCCCACCTGCTTCACTTTTGCAGCCCACAGGTAAAATATTAACAATAATTTCCCATTTTTCTGTGCTTCTCCAAAAGAACTCTTAAATTTGAACCTAAGTATCTTAAGTGTTGGAACATGGTATGTTTCTGTAGCAAATTGATTTTTCATTGTATGTTATAAAAATATATCAATCAAATCAATTTTTTGTTGTCATTGTTCAAAGGTGTTTTGTGCAAAAATAATGTCAAAATGCCTGCAAGAAGGTTTTTATATGATTTGCCTTTTAGATTGTGGCTGATTAACTGTTTGATCCATATGAAGTGCAGTTGTCCTCTTTGTGAATATATGGACTTCAAGTTTTGCAGGCTTCATGAATACCCTAACTTCTTAGTGGAACTGTGTCTAAGTTAAAGATAGAAAAAGAAGGTTTACTCATTTTTGATGTTTAGTAGCCTAAAAATGTATACCAATTAGTATTTTTTTTTTCGTGGTACGTGGGCCTCTCACTGTTGTGGCCTCTCCCGTTGTGGAGCACAGGCTCTGGACGCGCAGGCTCAGCGGCCATGGCTCACGGGCCCAGCCGCTCCACGGCATGTGGGATCCCCCTGGACCGGGGCACGAACCCGTGTCCCCTGCATCGGCAGGTGGACTCTCAACCACTGTGCCACCAGGGAAGCCCAATTAGTATTTTTTTTGAAAAATTATTTGTTAAAGAGGAGTGACATTTGTGTTACTGTAATACAATGTATACACATACACAATTTAAATGTATAGTCAAACCTGGACTTTTTGAAACTTTTAGACATAGGCATTTACTTTAAAATGACACATTTTAAAAACCATTTTTGTTGGAAAGCTTCCTAAAATATACTGCACATTTTTCTTTCTTTTTTTTTTTCTTTAAAGGAATATTTATTTTTTGGCTGCGTTGGGTCTTTGTTGCTGTGTGCAGGCTTTCTCTCGTTGCAGCGAGCAGGGCCTATTCTTCGTTGCAGTGCATGGCTTCTCATTGCAGTGGCTTTGCTTTGTTGTGGAGCACAGGCTCTAGGAGCACAGACTTCAGTAGTTGTGGCATGTGGGCTCAGTAGTTATGTCTTGCGGGCTCTAGAGCGCAGGCGCAGTAGTTGTGGTGCACGGGCTTAGTTGCTCCGCAGAATGTGGATGCTTCCTGGACCAGGGATCGAACCTGTGTCCCCTGCATTGGCAGGCGCATTCTTAACCACTGCGCCACCAGGGAAGTCCCTACTGAACATTTTTCTACCTTCCTAAACAATAGTTACTCTACAGATTAAATCAGTGATTTACAACAGTGATTTTGATGCTTCTTTAAAGCAGCAGAACTCATTTTTCAAGTAGAGTTTAAGGCAGAGTCTCAATATAAAAAACAGAGAAATAGAGCTGCTCTAGTGGCGGATAGATCGGAGCTTGGATTATTTAGGCCTCTTTTTTCCTAAGGTATACTTCCTGGAAGCCTGGGTCCTCAATCTGAGTCTCCAATCAGGTTATGAAACAGTTGCGTTTTATCTATGGTCCAAGTACCTTTTGTATTATGCCTGTACTCTTGTAGTACTTACCACATTGTATATAATTTTACTTTTTTTTTCTGAGGCATTTTTGTTTTAGGAGACTTTTTTGTTTTGTTTTGTTTTTGCGGTACGCGGGCCTCTCACTGTTGTGGCCTCTCCCGTTGCGGAGCACAGGCTCCAGACACACAGGCTTAGCGGCCATGGCTCACGAGCCCAGCCGCTCCACGGCATGTGGGATCTTCCTGGACTAGGGCACAAACCTGTGTCCCCTGCATTGGCAGGCGGACTCTCAACCACTGCGCCATCAGGGAAGCCCTAGAAAACTTTTAAAATGTAGAAAATTGTAAAGAAGAAGATAAAAATTACACATAGTTCTTGTGATCAACAAAGAAATACCCTTAAAAAAAAAACAAATTATCACATTGGCGAAGGTTTTGCTTAAATTATAACCAGTGTTGTTTGCAAAGACCTAGTGAAACAGACAAGTTCTGTTTCTGTAGGTAGATGTATACATACAATTTTGAAGGAAAATTTTGTAGTAGGTGTAAAATACCTCTATCCTTTAATCCTGTAACTTCAATTCTAGGAATATGTTCCAAAGAGAAAATAATCAAGAGTTGTTGAAAATATCCAACAATTCTGTTATGGTTGAAAAATTACAGTTTTGCCATGGAATAGCATATTTTATAGACAGGTAAAATCATGTTTTTGAAAAATATTCAACGTCATCGGAAAAAAAAATGCAGACTACATAAACAGAGTAAGATCTTGGTTCTTTGAAAGTTTAGCTTTCTGTTAAAATTAATATAAATGAGATGACTTGAGTTTCAAATCCAGGTGATTAAAATGCTGATGTCAAGGAGGATGGGGGAAATAGTGGAGAGAAAGAGCAAGGCTTGGATTTAAACATCTTGAGTTTGACATACCAGTGGGATATCACAGTAGAGATGCCCAGTAGACAGCTAAAAATTAAGAACTGGAATACAGGCAGTTATTTGCCTAGAAGTGATACTGGCTAATTAAAACTAAGGGAGTAAGATTGCAAAGGGGTGAGTTTCAAGAAAGTTTTTCAAAGAAAGGGGCTAGGGACATAATCATGGTGAACGTCTATTTTTATTGAGTGTGTGGAAGATGAGTCAGATGAAGAGGCTTTGGAAAGGAGAGAGAACAGAATCATGGAAGCCAAATGAAGATAACCTTTCTATGAGAGGATATTTAAAGGCTAATGTTAGAAAAAGCGTTGGGTCTTTGTTGCTGCGCACAGGCTTTCTCTAGTTGTGGCAAGCAGGGGCTACTCTTTGTTGCGGTGCACAGGCTTCTCATTGCGGTGGCTTCTCTTGTTGCGGAATATGGGATCTAGGTGCGTGGGCTTCAGTAGTTGTGGCACAAGGGCTCAGCAGTTGTGGCTCGTGGGCTCTAGAGTGCAGGCTCAGCAGTTGTGGCACACGAGCTTAGTTGCTCCGCAGCATATGGGATCTTCCCAGACCAGAGATCGAACCCGTGTCCCCTGCATTGGCAGGCGGATTCTTAACCACTGTACCACCAGGGAAGTCCTGTAGGTTTTCCATAGATATTCTTTATCAAGTTAAGGAAGTTCCCCTTTATTCTGAGGTCTTATCGTGAATGGTTGTTGGATATTGTCAAATGCTTTTTTTTGCATCTGTTTATATGATGTGATGGATTACATTAATTGATTTTCGAATGTTGAACCAGCCTTGCATACCTGGGATAAATCCCACTTGGTTGTGGTGTGTGAGTTTTTAAATATGTTGTCGAGTTCAGTTTGCTAATATTTTGTTGAGGGTTTTATGTTCATCAGAGATACTGATCTGTAGTTTTCTTGTAATGTCTTTGTCTGGTTTTGGTATTAGAGTAATGCTGACCTCATAGATTGAGTAAGGAAGTGTTCCCTCTGCTTCTTGCAGAGATTGTAGAGAATTTATATAATTTCTTCTTTAAATGTTTGGTAGAATTCACCAGTGGACCCATCTGGGCCAGATGCTTTCTGTTTTGGAAAGGTATCAGTTACTGATTAAATTTCTTTAATAGGTGCAGGCCTATTCATATTGTCTGTTTCTGCTCGTGTGAGTTTTGGCAGATTGCCTTTCAAGGAATTGGTCCATTACATCTAGATTATCAAATTTGTTGGCATAGAGTTGTTCATAGTTTTCCTTTATTATCCTTTTGTTTCTTTCAGCACATATTGAGTGAACACCTATCACATATCAGACTCACTGCAGGTTTTTGTTCTTAACCGCTGTGCCATAAAAAGAACATCGTAAGGGGCATCAGGGTTTGAACAACAGATAATGTAGCCGAACTAGATTTTAAGGTACATGTAGTGGTAAATAGAAGTGGAAAGTCAAGTTGGATCTGTTCTGTGGAAGGCCTTTCATGCTTGCCTGAGGAATTTATTCATAGTGGACAGTGGGGAGCCATTGTTTTAGTTTAGGAATAGTTTGATTCAAACTGTATTTTAGAAAGCTTGCAGGGCTGAGAAAGCTATCAGACATGAAAATCTAATCAGGGTATAGTTGTAGAAGTTTATTTGTGGTACCTAGTATGAGAGGACAAATTCCTACATTTCTGTGTATTTTCTCAATTATTATATGCTTAAAAATATGTGGATCTGGGATAAGGTCTTCAGAATCTTTTGACATTATAAAAGTTCTACTTAACCTCTAGGGAACAGATTAACCTAGGCAATGTATAATTAAGATTTTACTTATAGCAAACAGTTATGCTTGTAAAGGTAGAGTTTATGGGGCTTGGCAACTAATTGTAACATGGTAAAGAGGACTGAAGGGGCTTAGGTGACCAAGAGAAGGGTGACAGCATTGGCAGATACTGAAGTCTGGAGGAGAAGCTGTAGAGAATTGTCATTCTTCAAAGGTACAACTGAGTGATATGAAAGAAGTGTTATAGCTGAGACTCTCAGTTCTGTTAAGCTTATAACTTGGCAAATTCAGGAAGGCTTCTCATCATCAGTGCAGTAAGTATCCTTAAGTTGTCAGGTTCCTTTGGTGAGATTCCACAGCACCTTACACTCTCCTGTCTTAGCACTTAACCACACAGTACTGAAGTGGATTGAGAGCTTTGTGAGGGCAAAGACAGGGTGTTCGTCTTGTTCACTGTTATATCCTCTGCCTAGCACAGTGCTTAGCATTTGAAACACTCAGTAATTGTTTATTAACTGATTTTTCAGATGATGGAGGTTTGTTTAAGTCTGTTTTGTATTTTCCCATTTGGGCTTCCTACTTTTAAAAATTCTTGTCAGTTTCTAGTAATAATAAACTGAACCATGTGGTTTAATACAGGTTTTCATATTTAAGTCCAGGTGGATGTGGGGTGGGAGCCACAGAGATTTTATTTAGCAAAACATTTTGAGTATTTTGTGCCATAGGCTCCTTGGCCTGGAATATAAAGATCACTAAGATGTAATCTCAGCCCTTAAGTTGTTCACATTCTGCATGTTTGCCTTCCTTACTGTAATGTGATAAGTGCTGCAGTAGAAGTGGACTCCCTGTGCTCTACAAAATTAGGTGAGAATTGATTTGAAAGAAGAGGAGCAGTTGGTGGTTTAGGTGCCTGAAGAAGGAGACATTTCAGATTACACCTGATGAGTTTGGGTTAGTAGAGCAAAGGAAAGAGGACGTGTGAAAAGGATGAAAGCGAGATAGAACATGGCTGGTATGTTAGAGATGCAAACAGTTCCAAAAGATTGGATATGTTTTGGATGGAGGCAGAAGATAAAGCCACTGAGAGTGAAGGTGGAATCAGATAATGTAGGGCCTTGTGTGCCATGCTGGTGCTTTCCTCAGTGAATCTAAGCGGGAAAGTAATATCTGATTTGGGTTTTAGAAAACTGCCCTGACATCTTGGTGGACAATGGGTTGAATGGGAATGTGCTACAGAGTGTTTTCACAGACATTAATTCTTCTGAGCTTCACAACCGTCCTGTTACATGTATATTATTGTCTTCATTTTACAAATAAATAATAAGTGGACTCAGAAGTTGGAGGACTTAAAGAAAGTTACAGCAACTAAATGGTGATCTGCGACCAAATCCTGGATTTCTAAAACCTCTCTTATTCTTGCTTTCAACTGCAAGTAACAAACTGCTGCTAATCGTGGCTTAACTAATAATAATAAAGGCACTTTATTATGCATATTAAGTCTGGAGGTAAGTGATTCCAGGTTCATCAGGTATTTAAAAGCAGGGCAAGGGATGGTCTTCCTGCAGTTCTCTTGCCTCTTCTGTCATGGCAATAAGGTGACTGCCACAGCTTCATACATCATTTATTCACAAGAATATGTCACTAGCAGGAAAGAAAAGACTGGATGGAAAAGAGACTTATTCCGTGACGCTGGAGAGCAAAGTTATTAATATTAAGATCACTGACCTTGGAGGCAGACTCCTTCGTTTGAATTCAAGCTCCTCTACTTATTATCTATATCACCCAACATAATAAAATCTCCCTATCAGGATAGAAAATCTCTGCCTCCCCTCCTCCCAGCTTTTGGCTGAAACTCTGAGTCATGTGCCCACCCTAAATGCTCAAAGAGGAATGAGCTTAGACCTGTCCTAGACTCATATCCTCTGGGGCCGAACAAAGGATGGACCTAACCATCCAGAGCACACTGCTGCCCACCTAATACCTGAACACAATCTGGGTTCTTTTCGCATGGTAGAAGTGGGGTGATAGCTGTTGCACACACTAGGATGCTACCTTGCCCTGTTATATGGCAGTAGATTGTTACAGTGTGTAAGCAGGTTCAGCTATCATTCCGAATTGTTCTTTTGTCTACTTAGGGTACCTGTTGGTCCCCTGTTTGTTGGGGGGTGTGTGTGTTATTTTTTTGGGTAGAGAACTTGGTTTCTTTTTGCTTTGCGTCAGTCATAATGTTCTTTGATTTCCAAAATATCTACCTCATTTGCTCTTCCTGCATAGAAAGTGTGTGTTTTCCTTGGTCATTCCTCTCTTCTTAATATTTGGGTGGGCGAAAAGAAATTAAAAACAACTTTAACTACTTTCTCTTGGAAGAGAGAAAGCATTGTTAGTTTAGTGGCTGCAAAGACTCAGTGACAAGGAACTAGTTTTTTATGATATTCCATGGCACTTAATAGCTGTATCTACATTGGATGATAGTTCAGTAAATCAATTTTTTAAATTCAGTTAGCATATATTTTTTTATATACTATGTATAGCATATTAGACTAAGTGGCTTCTAGGTTTATGTTTTTTCTGTTTTTTTTTTTTTTATTGTGAACATAATAAAAGCTCAGTATAGAAAATTTGAGAAAAGTGGAAAACTATAAAGAAGAAAGCCCAGGCAGTAGGGCAGCTTTTAAAACTTTTAGAAGTAAATACATAATTCAGATTTGAGTGATTATAGTGTGACCCAGATTTTAACTTTGTAGGTGTGAATAGAGTTAGGATACTTGTGTCTATCTTTATTTTCATTAATGGGATTTAATGCATGCTTTTATGTTGATACCACCTAAAGCACCTTAAGTTATTTACACCTCAAATTTGCTTACAGTCACAGTATAGAATGGTTTCATGAATGTTAAAGTCTATATTAACATGACTTGTCACTTTCTCTCTGAAGCCTCATGTTCTCGAAAAGATAAAGACCAAAGGAAGCAGCAGGCAATGTGGCGAGTTCCTTCTGATTTAAAGATGCTAAAAAGACTCAAAACTCAAATAGCTGAAGTTCGATGTATGAAAACTGATGTAAAGAATACACTTCCAGAAATAAAAAGCAGCAATGCTGCTTCTGGAGACATGCCGGCAAGCCTTCTTTCTGCTGACCAGGCAGCTCTGGCTGCATGTGGAACCGAAAACTCTAGCAGATTACAGGATTTGGGAATGGAGCTCTTGGCAAAGTCATCAGTTGCCAGTTGTTACATACGAAACTGTAAGTGAAAAAGATCCTATTAGTTTTATTTCTCCATGTGTCATTTGGGAAGCTAGAGGACAGGTTATTTTCAGAATAATAATATTCAAACATCTCCCTCACAATGAATTAAGACTACAAATGCAAACAGCCTTTTCTCCCATCCAAAACCGACTCTGTATATTTTCTGCTGTGTAATAGAGCTAACATTTCTTGGTTGCTTATTCTATATGGGTCAACAAACAAGACAAAATCCTTAACCTCATGGATCTTGCATTCATGTATTCATATGATAGGAATTGGACATTAAAATGTGTAGACAAGTAAAGATAATTTCAGTTGGTAAAAAGTACGTGAAGGAGACAACAGAGTGAGATGGGCAGAGCAAGTGAGGTGTGTGCTATTTTAGTTAGGGTAGTCAGAAAGTCTCTCAGGAGGCAACAGTTGAACTGATATCTGAAGGTTGAGAAGGTGGCAGCCACGCAGAGATCTGGGGGAAGCATTCTTCAGGGTAAACAGAATGGAAAATGCAAAGTCCCATATAAAGGATTTGCTCTGCATGTTTGAAGGCTCGAAGGAAGATCATTTTGGCTGAACATGGTGAATTAAGCAGAGGCGAGAGTGACAGGAAATAAGTCAGAGAGGTAGGCAGGATCTAGATCAGGTAGGTCTTATAAGACCTCAATAAGGAGTTTGAGTTTTATTCTGATTTTAGAAGAAAGTCTCTAGAGAATGAAAATCAGGGGGGTGTTTATGATCTGATATACCTTTTTACAGAGGTGACTTTCTTTGTTGTGTGAAGAAGGGTCTGAAAAGGGTTGAGAGTGGGAGTTGTGAGACCAGTAAACAGCCTGTAACAATAGCTTGTGTGAAATACGGTGACTTATTCTGGAGTTACTACACTGGGTAGGTGGGCTTGCTCATGGTCTTCCAGCCTTTCTTAATTCTCCCAAGGATGGTATGTAACTAGTACTACTCTAGATACATAGGACAGAAGTTAATCTATTACATACAGTAGATATTTTAGACCAGGAGGGCTCAGTTCTCTCCCACAAACCTGGTAAGAAAGGTTTTAGGGAAA